CCCTGAAGGTTAATCTTGGACAATATCTGATGATCGACTCTTTTAAATGAAACCAGAGGGCGTTGACAGAGAGGAGAAGGTAGAAATGACTCAGCCTGTAACTGAAAATATTGATAGAGGACCTCAGTTTAGCTTGTTTGTTGCGCTAGCGCCGAGCTAATACATATAAATTTAATATAGTGTTGGCACTAGCGCAAAGGTTAACAGGCTAAGCTGAGGTTCTTCTTCCATGAAGCAGCTCTGTTGTCCTCCATCTGTATTTTCAGTTACAGGCTGAGTCATTTCTACCTTCTCCTCTCTGTCAACGCCCTCTGGTTTCATTTAAAAGAGTCGATCATCAGATATTGTCCAAGATTAACCTTCAGGGTGGATACAGCTAACTAGCAGCCTCGCACTGATGACCTAGTTGATGTCATCATTTACCCAGAATGCTTTGCGTGTAAATAAATTAGTCCCGTCCGTGTAATATATTTTTAAACTTTTAGTTTAAAAATTATAAAAACTGAACATCCTACAGTATTTTTACAGTCTTTATTTTACACTTAAAATATATGTTTATTAAATAAAGTCTATTTTACAGTTAAAGTATATGTTTATCATATAAAGTCTGATGTTACAACTAATCAGGGATCCCTTTAAACAAAGATTGTCTTTGATCTAGGGTTACCAAATCAACTTAATGTGTGGCTTAATGATGTAATGTGTCAATTTTGACGTCACCACTTAATTTCTCTTTTTCCCCCAACATTTACGTCCACCTAAACAGGACTCAATCATGTTTCTGTTAGTTCCTGTTAGTTCCATGTCAGATGATGGACTAAAATGTAGAATTTAATCAACATCTTTCTTTCCTTACAACTTTTCAGCTGGTGATAGGCTCAGTAAACATAAGGATAAAGAAATATGAATGTAAACAAATATGCTGTTTTGATTATCAAATGTTTCTAAACATTTACCACTTCAGGAAAAAAACTGTTGAAGAAAATAATTTTTGAAAACTGAAAATTAGTACCATCCTACATCTATGTAACCACTACATACTATATGTATTTTATATGCTTCGTGTTTCTTATTTCTTCTATGTTTTTAATGATTAGGTCAAATGTGTCATTAAATGGTTTGATAACATATTGGGACAGCTTTTAAATTTATATTACTAATTTATTATAAAAATATGGTCACAGTCTGTTTGTGCTTGATGTATGTGTTTGGGAATGACTCAGCTATCACACCAAAGATTGTGTCACACACCTGAAATCAAAGGCTGTAATGAAATGAGTGGATATTAGCAGATTTTAGGATGCTAACGAGTATGTCAATGCCTGATCTGTCCCAGAAATGTGAACCATACAGTCAACTCCTTTGTGCATGTGCTAAGAGAATTACTTCCAGGAGGACTTTGCTAGTTTTTAGAAAGTAGCATTTTGCTACACCACTTGATGACACAACAAATTTGTTTTCTGTCTTTCATCTGCAATGTTTCATAGAAAACAGAACGTTTGCAATATAAGTGGATTTTTATTCCAGGAAAAAAATTAAACCAAAATGTCTACTATAAAAATAAAGGTCTTCTGTTGTCTGTGACAGGTGAAGTGTTTTTCAATAGCTGTGCTTCCAATGCAAATGTGCGCAAAACTTGGTCAATATTATGTTAATGTCGGAAAACATAGTTTCGCAATTGCGGTGTTTCCATTAAGTAAAAAATGCTATTAAAGTCACGCGTGAATATGTTTGTTCTCGCGTTAAGTCATTATAAACATGGCAGCCATGGATGTAAACACATAGCATTTTGCTACCACGACACTAGCGCTCATCATCAGCCATCAGAGGAGACGTCAGCATCTTATCGAGGCTTTCGAGTGACAAACCCCTTATACTTGGGAGCGGCTACGAATGCAGCATTTTTGGGAAATTGTAGTCGGTGAGTTTGTTACTTTCTTTTACAACTTCTTTGATTTCACTACTATGTCTACTTCCTGTTGTCTTCTTCGTCGTCATCTTTTTAGCCAATAGAAACAGCCGGTTGTTGATCACGTGACTCCCGTGATGCAAAAAAGTGTTTCCATTGCAGTTTTGCGAAACACACCAATTTCGATACCGCCGAAAAAGTAAGTAAGTAAGTAAAGTTTTATTTATATAGCGCCTTTCACAGAAATAAATTCACAAGTTGCTGTACATTCAGGGAAGGGGGCACAGTTAAGACCGGTCATGCAGCAACACAGTTGCGCTACCTTAACAACAGAACAACAGAAAAACTAAAAACCACAAAAAGGAGGATGAGGAAAAAAGCAAAAACATCATATTATATCAACACTGTGACACACTATGGTGTTTATGAAAAACCTCTGCATAGAGCAAGTTATTAACCAGTAAGTGAGTTTAGGGGGCCTCGAAGGATCCAGTCCCCAAAACCAGCGCAGCCATGGTCCAGAATATTGATGGTACTGTTCATTCTGTGCAGCCTTTAGCGTGCTCAGGAAACCAGATTAGACGGGTGAGAGAGGAGGGGGGAGGTTTGGGGCAGAGCCTTGTCGACGTAATCCAGCCAGGAAGAATTTAGTCAACAGCTCAAGGCCGTTGTCGGGGAGAGCCAGATTCTGTAATCAGTTGTTTTGGGATCAGAAGAGTCAGGCAGACGATAACAATTTTCCATCTGCTTTAGTATTCTGCTGGTACATCTCAAGGTGGCGAATCCAATCAGGCAAAAAGTGTGGGCAATTCCACCGAGCCAATCCATCAGCTTCTCCAAGATCAATTCCATCTGGCCAGCAAAGTCCAGGGACCACAGCCGGCCCGCGACCCTCAATAGAACCGCTTGCAGACCGAGTCCAGCTCGCTCAAGGCAAATGTCCGATTACTGATAGTATATAGCCATCCATCAAATTGGTCAGCCAGAAAATGAAAAGCCACCGACACTGTTTTGTAGAACACCAGGAGACCACCAACCCAATCTGTAGAATCCGGTGATCGGAGTCCAGATATACTGTATATCCAGAACAGAGAAGAACAGAGGTCCCTCCTTTGACATGTCCTCCCATGGAAGAAGAAAAAACTTTGTTCCAAAAGTTTTATTAAGAGACCAGCTAACCAAATCCATAAAACTAAAAATATCCATAATTTCTAGTTTCGGATGAAAAATGTAGAGAAGGTTCCAAGCAGCAAAGCAGGGAAGATAAGGAAGGGCAGGAGAGAAGGAAAAAGCGTCTTAATCCTCCGAGAGCAGAAACAAACAAAAGAAAAAAAAACAAAAAAAGAAAAAAAACACCTCATCCAAGCGCAAAAACCTTTTGCCGAAAATAGGAAGTTTTTTCGAAATTGACATTTCCATTGAGCTAATTTATTTTCGAAATTCTAATTTGCGCATTTTCATGGTCAATGGAAACACAGCTGAAACAACTCTCTCACACAAATGAAACAGTGCTAGAGAACACTGCAGTTTCCAAAATTAAACACCCACAGTTTTATACGTCATTGTTTCTGCTTTCTCAACCTAATGTCTGTTAATATTTGAAGGTATTTGTGCCGAGCGTAGCAACACAGACGTTGTTTAGTTAGGAATACAACAACAAACCAAACTGGTAGGTTGTTTTTGAGCAATAGTTGTGTAATAAACTGGAAAGATTAAATAAAATAAGCCTAGGTTTGACTTGCTGTTAGCCTAGCTTAAATACAGACCTCTGCCTTTTTCCATACTCCAGGCTCTTTGACTGGCATGGCTAATAAGGAAGTAACTACTGGTTACATACATTTACAGAAATGCCACTACAAAAACACCCAGACTATCCCTTTAGCCACTCCTATGGATGCACAGCTAAATTGGTATTGGTTCATCCAGTCAGCATTGAAACTGCAATGTCCCTCGAAGTAACTTCCTACGTCTTCTTGAGATGCGTGATCACCGTGAAGATTTCATGTCTTGCACTACCGACTTGGCTCTCCAAGTGTCCGTGCACTGCTTTGAAATGCTGTGCCAGGTTGTTTTAGGCTTGCTTCCAGACTAGCTAATAATTCATGCCTGCAGTCACTGGGTTGCCAAAGCAGAATTGGAAGCACCTCAAAAGAGCAAAAAATAAAATAAAATAAAATAAAATAAACCCACTGACCCCACAAATTCACACACCTCTCTGTCATTTGTTGCTACAGCTCTGACAATAGCTGGTATTCACCCATTTCTTCCTTCTCACCCTCTTTAACACTCCATCTTCTACTTTCTAACCAGCTCAAGTCTCCCTGGCTTCCTTTTTTATCTACACAGTTCTGTCGTTGCTGACAATTTCCAGGACAAGTGCCTCTTGCCAACATTCCTCAGGGAATGATTTCCCAAAACCTTTATTTTATTTTAGTTTTTG